TTCTGTTCTTCCTGGGTGAACTTATTTACATATATGCCTTCATTTTCTACCAACGTGTTGGCAACTTGTAGTAGTCATCTCCATCTCTTCACTGAGCTCCACTCACATGTTCCATTTCCTATCTGACATCTCTACTTGAAACCATAGTAAGAACCTGAAACTTAGTAGCATGTCCAGAATGGAACTCACTTCACTGCTGACCAGTCTGCTCCTTTCACAGTTTCTCCTTCCTCAGCAAATGGCATAACTGTCCATCCAGAAACCAACTGCTCCTTCTCTTTCTCCATGTCAACTCTTTTAACAAGACCTGCAGTTTCTACTGAAAATTGTACCTCCAGGCCCATCTTTCCTTTACCACCTCCACTGCTACCTTGCGGTTCAAGCTATCCTCATCTCTTATCTGGACTCTCAGCTGCCTGCCCTTTTCAACTCCATTCTTTGCAGAGCAGCTAGAGTAATCTTTCAAAAATATGAATCACATCACTTCACTCTCTTATTTAAATCCTTTCAATGGCTTCCTGCTGTGCTTGGGATATAATGCAAGCCCTTACATACCCGAGGAGGCCCTGTATGACCTGGCTGGACTCTGCCTGCCTGCCCAAGACCTCCTCTTCCCAATCCTTCTCTTTTTAGCCACGCGAAACTTTCAGTTCTTCAGAGGAAAACTTTTACCATCCTAAGGTCTTTTGAATGCTGGTTCTTCTCCCTCTGAAGTTCCTCCTGGGAACCTCCCATGCCCGGCTCACTCTTATCCTTCAGAGCTCAGTGTAAGTGTCACATCACAGTGGTCGTGTTTGTTTCCTCTATCTAGATTTTTCCTTGGCACCAGGCTATCCTCCTTCAGACAATTTATCACAATCTCTGATTACTGTTGTGCTATTTGTTTCCTTGTCTTTTGTCTGTCTCCTTACTGAAATGCGAGCTTCATGAGGACAGTCACCGAGCCCATCATGGCAGTACTGCACCAACCCACATGGCAGGCACGTGGCCCCTGCATTCTGGGTGGGGAACAGACTGCTTCCTGC